CGTATAATGATTATTACTCTTCCACGTTAAAGACGATCTCTGCGAACGATACGGTCAAATTTAGCGATGAGATAACTACTAACGCGCATCTCGCTCAAGCTTTAGCTTTTTTGCGTTTATTATGTTGCGCTTGATGCGTTTCTTCGAGATGACGTCAGGGCATATTAATGGTTCTCATGCGATTACTCGCGGAATAACTTTGCGAAGTAGCACTAATGCATTAAGAACTAATCAGGAAACGTGTTCTTTCATCTTAGTATAACTAAAAAGATAATCGATTTATGTATTTGTGATTTATTAGTTAGCTTGTAATGAAGGTTTTAGAAACATAACCTTTCAAAGTATAAACGAGGAAATAACGTAAGAGGTTAGCTCTAATATCGTATATACATTGCAAGATAAATGTCTCGTTCGATAAAGTTAACGAGTAACGCCGAACGATATCCCCCTCTCTCTTTTTTCTCTTTCATTGTATTCGACCGTAATCTAATAGGGTCGTTAAGATAAAATATACGTTGCAATACGAGCTTATCGGTTATTTACAAACGCACGCGCTACTCTGCACTTTTTTTATGTTACGCAGCTGTTCAATGTTTTCCTTTTCTGTTTCTTTCATGTTTTTTTTTCTTCACTGTTCCGAATTTTATCTGTGACATTTAAACAAAAATTATCTATGATGTTTTTTCAAAAGAAAAAAAATAAAATTTGGTCATGAATAAGAGGACGCGTGCGTAAGAGTGGGGTAAAGGACGGAAGGGAGGAAGAAAACTGCATAAGCTCTGCAGAAAAAAAAACGAGTATTGGAGATGGGGGGGGAGAAGAAAAAGGTTGCGCTCGCGAGGAGCTAACCTTGGATGTAATAGCGAAGACGCACCACTACAATACTCTCTCTCTCTCTTTTCCTCTCCTTCCTTCTTTCCTACGAAACACCCACGTAATCTGCGCCTGCGATTTGCTCTCTCGATGAGGCCAGGTAATCTCAACTTTTGTCTCTTTCATGTTATAACTCTTTTACAATTTTCACGGCACGCTAATCTTGCCGCTAATTTTTTTTTCTTTATACATGTGCTCAACATATTATAACAACGCGCCCGAGCGTGTATTTTCTGTAAGAAGATACGTTTACGATGAAGACTACAATTTTTTTTTTTTTTTTTTTTTTTTTTTTTTTTTTTTTTTTCACGTGTAAGCGACAAGTTTAACGCATCTCTAATCTCTCTGTCTCTCTCTCTCTCTCTTTCTAAATGACTGTAGAAATCAATGCACCTTTAGTATATAATACCACATGCTTGTCTCGATTCGTCCTGCGGTCTCGCATTCCTAAGTGATTAATCTACAGAACCACAGTTCAAAACCGTTCCCTGTGGTGTGGTGATGAGACCGACGTTAGTAGTATAGTAGCAACAGCAGAACAGCAGTAACATCGTTGACTGCTCCAAGCAAAAAGAAAAAAGAAAGAAGAAAGGGGGAAGGAATAGCGTTCTTCGCGATGTAATTTACATCAATGAGATAAACGTTCTTTCCGTCTGATTTCTAACTTCCTTCAATATATATATATATATATATATATATATATATATATATATATATATATATATATATATATATATATATATATATATATATATATATATACACTTTTCCTGTCATTCATTTTATATCAAAGAAATGTTCATTAAAAAATATCTTAAGTACCGATTACGCACAGTAATACACGATACAATAATAAAGCTTTTAGTTAACCAATCATACTTTATTTCTGATAAAAGATATATAGAGAAAGATAAGAGAGTCGATATTTTACAAATTTTACAGAAAGGAGAAAAGAAGAGAAAGAGAGAGAGAGTGCCGTCATCGGTGTAATATCACCGTCCGATGCACAGCATTGCCTCTTTTCACCGTCTCCATTCTCTTCTCCAGCATCCTTTCTTTTCGTTTCTTTCCTTTTTCTTCGCTCCTCTTTTCTCCTCATCTCTCCCTCTCGGATTACCGCTCTTGTAGCTCTCTTCTCATTCTCCCTCGCACTCTCGACGAAGACAGCGAAAGAATAAAGAGGATAAGTGAGTAAGAGAGAGAGAGAGAGAGAGAGAGAGAGAGAGAGAGAGAGAGAGAGAGAGAGAGAGAGAGAGAGAGAGAGAGAGAGAATTCAGTGGAAGGACGAGAGTTAGAAAGAGATAGAAAGCAAAGAAAGATACCGGTTATTGGCGGAGACTGGCATATTTCACCGGGTGTCCAGCAATCAGACCTTTATATACGGCTCACTGCACGTTGTGCGCTCGTGTTCTCCCTTACTAGAAAGAAAAAGAGAAAAAAAAGATGAAGAGTGAGGGAGAGGGAATACGTCGAAGTTTCGAGCGAAAGGATACGGGGGGAGAGATGGAGGTGGTAGTAGCCAGTAGGAAGGGGAAGAAAGCAAGATACCGAACGTTTATTTAACGATGTAGAACTAGCCGCGACTATGGCCGCTTGGGATAGTTAAATGGGGGTGGAGAAGGGGCGGTAGGGGACAGTATGTGGCGCATCGGTTGCGTTAGCTGCGGATACCATGGATAATGCTAGGATTGTTGTATATACTCGCTAGTTTTCTCTCTCTCTCTTTCTCTCTCTCTCTCTCTCGACGTAAGAGAGATCTTACGTATTTCATTTGAGTATGCTTTATGTGTGTGTTCGCACACATATATATACATACCTATGTATTATCGTGTTGGGCGCACGCCTAACTGCTTTTCGAACAGTACTCGCACGCGTTTTTTACGCCGCATCTTTTGCCTTTTCATGCGCGCGCCAAATAACACTTCCTTTTGCGTTTGGCGGCAAAATACGAATCTCGAAGTAATGAATTAATCAATTACGGTCGGTAAAGAAGAATTCTTTATATCTGACGTACAGTAAACGCGGGAAAGTCAAATTTGTTTTTTTTTTCCTTCGAACTTTTATACTTGTATTTTTATTGAAATGAATCACAAGACATCGAAGAATGTATGATCTTGTGCTATTGTTGTTTTTATTTCTTCCCCGATTTTTTAATTAACATCTTTTTTTCTACGCAGTTTCTTTTACATTTATGCATGAACAAATTTGTATACGCATGCACGCACGCGATAATGTATAGACAAAGAGAGACAAAGTTAATCATGCGGACATTACATTGGTACAGTTTGCTTATAATCAGGTTGAGCTACACGTCCGTGGAATGCATCGAGAAGTCTTCGTGCGCAGGCGCGACTACGGGACGCGAGATCACAACACCATTTTCTTGTAACCGTCGTTCGAAGATACAATGACGATGGGAGAGAGAGGGAGAGAAGAGAGAGAGAAGAGAGAGAGAGAGAGAGAGAGGTTCACAGAAATTACGAAGAAATCGATTCTGACAATGTATCGATGTCGAAAACGATATCTTAGTAAAACGATATATCGAACGAGGGAAATATTAAATCGATTGAATCAATGACGAATGCGTAGCGCGCGCTGAAATGGACGTTTTCTTTTTCGTATATTTTTAAAATATCGAAAGCTTAAACATTCGTCATAGCTTTGTTGTTGTCAAAAAAAAAAAAACGATAAACTTAGATGTATTAAAAAGTAAAATTATTTTATATATTACTGACTTTTCTGTTAGCAGAAAAAAAAGGTTTGTTATCGTTCTGAAATGTAATCGATATCATTTGAATTTTAACGGAAGAAAATTGAATATAATAAGCGTAAGCTATAATAAAGAACGGAAGTGTCTTCGATATATCGAAGGATAATCAGTTGGAAAATAATTTTGGTTTGAATCGAATCAATGTTGAGGGTCGAGGTACGCCAAGTAGGTCGCTGTAAATCCCATTGCTGCCAACACAACGATACACGAGAGTCCATGCAACGTCGCACGATATCGCGTTGCGCTTCACCGCGGACTCGCACGGAAGCTCGTTAATTTCGCGCCATTCTAACGAGATCTCTGCCCGTTGCAAGCTGGAACAGCCGTCGGAGATTTTGATGATTATAAATCGACCGAGATATTGATAGATATGATGTTACTATAAAAATCTTTTTATTACTTTTCATTTAATCTTGTTAATGACTAATTCAACGAATGGAAATAACAATTATTATTTTCTATTCGAAACAGAGAATCTAATCCGTTGTTGTTCGGTTTCTTCAAACATGGACGATGCAAACTGTAGCGCTCAAAATGGCGGCTTATGATACGAAGATTACAAATTATTGAACTCACCTTCTGCGTGTGTTTCTTTCTTTTTCTTTTTCTTTTCCTTTTTTTTTTCTTTTAAGAATAATTATTATCATATCCTTAGAGAAATAATCATTCCATTCTTGATAATCGAAGATATTTTAAAGATACAGCAACCCGAGACATAGCAACGGAGATCATTAATTCAAATCTTTCTTCGATTATCATAAAATAGTTGACGTACGAATATTTGTATTTACATGCGATATTATTTTCTTTATATTTAGATTAGAATATTATAATACAATTTGATATGAAATTTGTTTGGATGGAACGTCCGTTTCGATGGTATTTCCTGGCATCAGAGGGATTGCAGCAATCATTGGATTTCGCAAGTTCTTCGGTTAAAATTAAGTCGGTCAGCGTGCGATAGAGTACATAACTTTAGTTAAAGTAACGTTCTCGTTTTCCGTTCTGATACTATAGTAATAACTGCGTCGTAGTTAAACCGATATGTATAATTTAGGTCGCAATATAATTGATGATCTATATACAATTTTTTATAGGTACATTTCTTAGAAGATCTTGACAGTTGGAAAGAGTAATTATAGAAAAGATTGCCGAAGCAACGAAAAAATGAAATATTAGATTTGATCACTAAGAATCTTTATTTGAAAAAGCAAACGTTGTTGCATTTTGTATCGTCAGAATTGATGATGTAGATAGCAAGCAATTATCAATGGAAGGTCATATCAATCGGATAATATAATCAAACATAACGTTGCCTTTTATTAACATTATACATGCTATACTATTGCTATACTAATTTTTTATTTTTTACTTCTTTCGTTCGAAACACTCTTATCGAATATCTCATGTTTATTTACCGTTACGTGCATTTTCTTCGAGGAAAAAGCATCTTTTCTCGATCGATAAGCTCAAATGTGTGTTCCAACGTCGCGACTTTCTTGTTGAATTATTAAACTTCTTTGTGTGAGACCTGTATGTGTTTCTGTAGCAACCTAAGGGTCCCTAAAGGAGTTTGTACTTTGTAAAACTGTATTCTTGTTATATGGATATACATATGTTATATAGATATGCATTTATAAAGTACATTTTCAGGAACGTTTCTTTCGTCGAACGATACAAACACGTGTTCCTAAGATATGGAGAAAAAAAAGAATATTATTAATGAATCGATTTGATCAACGTATCAATCGTAATAAAAAAAGTAACATTATTTTGTTTCAGCCTATGGTCAACAATCCTCAAATAGCAGAATCGAAAAGCACATTGTACCGTAAGGTTGTTAAAAAGAGATAGCCCACCGATCTGCATTCCTTCCAGTTTTCATTGAACGTCATCGAAAGGCCTTCAAAACGTCGACCCCATCGGTGATCAAGTTATCCGGGGGTGGCACAAGTGGGAGTGGGGAGCAACTATCCCCAGAACACGGGCCACATCCCCCGGTATCTCCGACGAGTGAACAACGTAACGAATTCAATGAAAATGATGATAATAGAAAGAAAGACGTCGATGCCTTTGAACGGGGTACAGAAGCCACCATGAGTTTTGTTTTACAATTGGGTACGGTTGAAACGTCAACCGAGAAAACTAAAAACGGCAGCGCCTCATCGTCAATGCTAATCGGTGCTCAAGAACTGACCGCACCATTAACGATCGGCGTTACCACGGCCAATACCTTAGTCGCGATGAGCGACGACAATAGTGATAATAACAATCCCCAAGTACTCCAGTGTCTCGAAGTGACGAACGTACCCGAGATAGCAGTAAGCCATTCCATATCGCTCTCCAATGTAAAATCAGTCAGCGTTTCTTATCCGGTTACGAAATCTAATAAAGAAATAGCGCAGAAGATTACGAGTTCTCAAACAAATACCACGCAAGTTTTGACAACTCGCGTGATATCTCAAAAATTGCCGAGCACTGCTTATCAAACGCAGCCCTTAACGTTAAATGCTTCCTCAAACGTCGCTCATTTACCAGTTAATTCGCAATCTTTACCTTCGCCAAGCAGTAGTGTCGCACATGTCTATCCTTTACAGGCAGCTACATGTTCCCAGAACAGCCAACAAGCTAAAACTCAAACCTCCGTAAACGATGCAATTCCTAAGAAACACCAACAAGCTACAACGGTCGCAAGTTTGCAAACGACGAGTCTGCATCCAAAATTTCAGCAGATCTCGCCCCAACAAATTCTTAATACTGCCACCGTAAAAACAATTACCACAGCTACGAACATCCCCAATATACAAAGGATACAGGTGAAGACGCAAAATATCAGTGGGCAGCCTCAAACAGTCAATTTGCAAAAAGTCAAAGCGGTAGCAAACCTTAGTAATCCTACTGTGGTACAGCGTAATTCGGTATCGAGGATACAAACCATTCAAAAGTCACAAATACTTACCTCTACGGCACAAGGGACGCAATTTACGGTTAACCAAATCGTTAACAATGCGAACGTGCAACGAATACAAACTGGCGTTTCAACGCCATCCCAAAAAACTCAATCCATTAATTCCACGAATTCCCAAAAAATGTCACAGGTCTATAACAACCAAAAGACAGGGCAGCAATTGGTAACTAACCATCCGAATCACAAAGCACAGCATCAGCAATATCAGAATAATCAGCAGGTACAGCCAACATTACAAAAGGTGCAGGGACAGCAACAAAAGTCATTGCCTGTTCAGAGGCAACAGAATAATGTTCAAAAGTCTAACAATTCCGTAGGTGGTATACAGAAGGCACAAATTATTGGCCAGGTGCAAAGTCAACAACAGTCGCCACAGTTGCAGAAACAAGTACAACAATCTCAACCGTCGCAACATCAAAGATCGCAATCTGCTATTGCGTTGCACAAATCACAAACTTTGACGGCTATTACTTCGAATCGGGTGCAAACCATAGCGAATGTATGTAAGAGTAATAGCGTACCTAATATTTCGAAAGTTCAACACAATTCGAATGCTCTTATTGTGAGTAAACAACAGGGAGTGTCGCAATCGCAACAAACCCATGTACAAACGTCGACTCAATTGCAACCGCAGTTATTACAAACGTCTCAGCAACAACAAGTTACACAAAAGCATCAAACAGTTAATTCTGCAGCGCATGCTCAAAGAAATCATAATATTACAAATATACATCAAAAGGTTTCTGCTATAGCCACGATACCAAGTAATCAAAAAACTCAAACTATAGTAAATTCAAAGATGCAGCAACAGCAGCAACAGCAGCAGCAGCAGCAGCAACAAATGGTTATGAGAGTAGGTGTATCAAAAAATCAAGCACAGAACTTGCAGCAAGGAAATTTAAAAACTATTCCACAAAAGATCACAAATACCATAAAGTCTGCTAATTCTCAAAATTCCATTCAACAATCCTTACATAGAAATAATAATTCACAACCAGTTAAAATCATACAACAGCAACAGAACGTAATTGGTCCGCAGAATGCACAGAAACAACCTGGTTGTATTAAGACTATTCCACCTCAGAAACCAGCTCAAAGAAATCATGCTCAGAAAGTATCAGGAGTGAAAACATCATTAAACACAAATGTTACTACGATGAAAAATCAAGGATTGATGACATCGGTATCACCGAAAACGAGCATAAAAACATTACTTCCCCAACAGACAGTTATGCCAAATATGTTAGTGCATAAAAATTCTCCTATTAAAGTTCAACAACAAGCTATACAACAAAAACAGCTTATCATGACGTCGCAATATTCACAGCAAGGTAGAACGCAAACGGGGCAAATAAAAACTCTTCTCTCTACTACCACAAATGCGGAAGTACATAAAGATTTAGAGAACAAGTTGGTAAAAGTTTATATATTTTGTACGAACCATAAGTTCAATGGTTATAATGTAACTATTATTATTTTAGAATGGAGTCCGATTTGCGTGTTTCTAAGGAAGAAGAATTGCAACAAACACCACCGAAATCCCCGGTGAGAAGGATGCCGTTGCCTTACGAGGTAATGTCAAAAGATTTTCATTTAGATTAAAGATTTTATTAAACCATCAATTCTTAATTATTTGTTTAATTTGCAGTTTTTGAATGGGATAACGTAATATTGTTTGATCTGAAAAATTAATTGCTTAATTGCAGTGTCTCCAGTTTGTTCTTCAAGACCATAACTACGGTGCACCGCCACCGCGAACACCACCACCTCCTTCACCACCTCCTCATCCTAAACAACAGCCCATTAATGGAGCTGGAAGCTCTACCACAACTTCTCAACATTCATATATATACGGGCAAGGTAAAAATATCAAACAAATGAAGTTGGGATCTCGTGCGAGCCCCTTTATTTCTTAGAATTATTAGAATGTAAGAATAATAATAAATAATTATTGCATAACGTAGAGTGAAATTTTCTTTTTTTATTTTTTTTTTATTTTTTTTTATTTTTTTTTATTTTTTTTTTTATTTTATTTTATTTTTTTTTTTTTTTTTTTTTTTTTTTTATTGCTTTTCAGTTGTAAATAATAGCGGTAACGTGGAGGATGATGCGGCCAGTGCAATCAGTAGTGAACCTGGACGCGAAGCAGAACCTGAAGGTGAAGAAACAGAAACTGCTCCTGAAGGTGAAGGTGATGACGAGGATAGTGTTACTAGATGTATATGGTAAGAAGAATTTGTCAATGCATAATTTACAATTAATAATTATTATAGATATTGAAAATCACTTCTTATATTTTCAGTGATTTTGAACACGACGATGGTTACATGATCTGCTGCGATCGTTGTCTGTACGTTTATACTATTTCTTATTTATTGCTTTGCTTGTTCTCTCTTTTTTTTATTTTTTATTTATTTTTTATTATTTTTTATTATTATTTTTTTTTTTTTTTTTTTTATTACTTTATCGATGAGAAATATATTTTTAATATTATATCTTAGATTCATATAATCACTTTCATATTTATGAAAGAAAATACGCGCGCGCACACATATAGAATGAGAGATAGAGAGAGAAAGAGAAAGAGAGAGGGACGCATAAAAAAGAAAATCAAGAAAAATTAATTTCTAATTTTACAGAGTTTGGCAGCATGTGGACTGCATGGGTATAGATCGTTCTAACATTCCTGACGAATATCTTTGCGAAATTTGTCGGCCACGACGTGTTGATAGACAAAGGGCACGTGCTTTGCAAATGCGCAAACGTGAAGAGCTACTCAATTCAGATAGTTCTTCTGACACGTCGTCTACAAGTTCGGTAGACACTGATATTGGTGTTAATGCAGCGCAGAAAAAGCGAACGTTGCATCAACAAGTTCCAAGACGAAAATCAGATCCTCCACCGCAAGTAAGAAGACTGAATAACAACAACAATAACAATAATAACAATGTGGCCAAAAGACAACGAAGAGACTCTAATCCGAGACAGTCCAGTGCAGTAAGAAAGAAAGAGGCTACTAAACGAGGTCCAGGAAAACGTAAAGCTAAACGAAGAATGAGTGTGGATGAAAAGGAAGAAGAAGTACAAGATGCATGGGGTTCTAATATGACTCCGCTTAGACAATGGATTGAAAGATACGAGGAAGCAGTGACCAATCACTATAGTCCTGAATTAAGAGCTAGAATATCGAGCATAAAGGTCAACGGTACTCATAGTGATTTGAGACAAAGTAATATGAATGTTATTGCCACTGGTAAATGCAGGCTGAATGTGCACAGCAACAACTTGAGAGTAAGTATATATTTTGCATGGTTTTTTTTTTTTTTTTTTTTTTTTTCCTGACGATATCAATAATTCTTGAATAATTAATAATAAACAGGAATCATTGTTTACCCATTATTATCCTAGCGGGCATTAAAAATAATTATCTTTATGTATAACAGTTTTTGGTGGCAACTATGTATCTACCGTCAAATACTCCGGTTGTTGAATTACGTGGAAAATATATGCTCAGTACGCAACATAGACCGTCGCATCCTCAGGGTAGACAGCATGCTCAAAGACCAGGGCCTTTTGTATTCTTTTATCGATTACCACGAGATGGTACCGAAGTATGTGTAGACACTAGAACATATGGAAATGATGCCAGATTCGTACGACGTAGCTGTAAACCTAACGCAGAAATAAAACATTGTATAGAGAAAGGAACATTGCATTTATATATTGTCACAAGTATGGCAATCGAAAAGAATGCTGAGATAACTATTAGGCATGAGTCACACGATTTGTTATTGTCGCCTAATCCTAATTCCCCAGTGATACCGGTGACTTGTGCATGTAATAATGCAAGGGAATGCCAGTTTACAGCTACAAATCAATTAAATAGAAGAGGTAGTAATGGAGCTCTTGTAGAAAATGCTGAGTAAGTAAATCGAGTAATACGTAATATAGATTCTTTGTGATATTAAATATTATTACTTTTCTTTTTATAGTGGCCGAGAAAGGAGGCGACGAGGTAGACGAAACACTGTTTGTGAAGATAGCGATTCTATATCTACAGTAACCAGTACAAATGTAACACCAGCGACGCAAGTGCCAACGGTAATACCCGTAACAGCACCACCTAGAAAGGCTATATCAACTAGCACCACGACCGTAACGCGTCAGCTACCAAAAGAAGAAGCTACAATAACGGCACAACAACAACAGCAGCAACAACAGCAACAACAACAACAACAGCAGCAGCAACAACAACAACAACAACAACAGCAACAACAACAGCAGCAGCAGCAACAGCAGCAACAGCAACCACAACCACAACCACAACCACAACAACCACAAATTTCTCCTGGTTTGCCACAGTCTACTATACAAGAGATTAAAAAGGACAAAAAGAAAATGACAAGAGAGGAGAGAAAAATGGAAGCTATTATGAAAGCTTTTGAGAGATTAGAGAAAGCAGAACAAAGAAAGCAGGAAGTTCAAGCTAGAAATGCACAGAGAAAGGAGTCAGGTGGTACGCATAGCGATAACGAGGACAGCCATAATCCTGCGATATTACAATCTAAGACTAAACAACAAAATTCCGAAAGAACATTACGACGAAAAAGAAGAAAGGGTCGTGCAAGAACTACGTCACAATCACAAAGTAGTAGGAGAACAAGGTTAAATTCTGCAGATTCCGATGTCTCGTCCGGCGACGAGAGTAATTCTATGCAATCTCCTCCACTTGTTAATCAAAATCGTTCAACAAGCGGAGATACTCCGTATTCGGCACACTTACATACAGCAGCAAAAAATGGAAGCGATGGCGGCCCTACTACCGGTACATCAGGACATCAGGGGATACCAACGGCAGCCGGCTTATTACTAGCGTTAGCTAATTCAAATACACCTGGCTCAAGTTCTCCACCCTTACAGCAACCAACACCCGTTAAAAGTCCTACGTGTGATAGCGGTGCCAGCAGTAGTTCTCAAAGTTCCACTCCGTCCACACCGCTATCTTCAGCATGTTTACTTGTTGCAGCAGCAGTTGGACCTTTGGCTCCTGGTTTTAAGTTTCCAAAAACTAAAAAAGTTCTGATGAATGAATGGTTGAAGGAATCGCCAGACCCACCTCAGACTAATATGCCTCAAGTGTCGCCATTACCTGCATTGTCATCTACATCTTTACAGAATCCTGTCAATCCTCTCTGTAGGTCATCAGAGTTTTCACTACCTAATGATCCGTCTGCAGAGTTTTTAACTCAAAGTTATGCAGCCAAAAGTCTAGCCACGCTTGTCCAAGCTGCTAATTCTGTTTCCGGTATATGTGATTCTCCACCGCAAAGAAAACAAATGATTACAGGAAACAATGCTTGTCCTGTTTCAACTGGATCGGCAAAAAAAAGATGGTTGAGACAAGCAATATCTGAAGAATGTGATTCGCCGAATAGCCGGCCCGACAGTCCTCCACCTAGCGAAATGGTGGCACCACCTAAAAAACGAAGAATAGCTAGGGAAAGTTTATCATCTGATAATTATACACCACCCACGACACCAACGATGTTGCTTCCTGAAGTTACTTCGACCAATAGATCTTTGTGTAATAATGAAGTAAGTCGTACTCGTACTTATTATTAAGCTAGAATTAATAAAATTATTTAATATTTATTTGATTTTTTCGTATAAGCCAAATCATAATATTACAAAATATTATAAGCCTTTAAAAAAAAAAAAAGAAAAAAAACTATTATTATTTTGTAGGATGATTTTATTGAACACCCTCACAATGAATCACCAACGATGGAACATAACGATGAACAACATGATGAACCAGAATCTGTACGAGAAACGAGCGTACGAAGTAATTTAGTAGAGACTTCAGAAAAAGCATGTAATCATGGCAAATTGTCTATTGATATTCCTCATTCGGAAGTAAATATAAAATGTGAGAAAAACGACGAATTTACAGAGTTTATTAAAATAGAAGAAACAGCATTGACAAAAGAGGAAGTAGTTTCGATAAAAGAAGAATCATCCATAAATATTGAGATGATCGATTCAAAAATAGGTTCTAAAGTTGAATTTAATCCATCTCCTTCGGAATTTATTAAAAATGAAAAAAAAAGTACTAAAAAAAGTACTAGTGAGATACACGATCTCCAAGTGAACAGTATACAAATAAAAAAAGAAGATACTATTAAAGAGGAAATTGGAAAGGGAACCGTAGAGATAATTGATCAGAACGAACAAGACACCGAAATGGAAGATTTTAGTTCTCCCATTGCTGCAATAGAATCTGATGCTATTCTAAAGCAGCGCGTAGTTGAAATGAGATTAGAATTTGGTGATAGTATAGCAGAGATCGTTAATGTTTCCAGTGAACATGACAAATCTGATGACGACAAGCAGATAGAAAATAATAAAGATTCAGAAATAAGATCCGAGGATAACATGTCGATCGATGAATTTGACGTAGAGGCACAAATGAAAAGAATAACGGGAGACGATGGCAATGATTACAAAGAAAAAGTTGACACAAGCTCGGAAAAGGATAAAAGTATGGATGGCATAGAAGGACTTATGGAAAGCTCAAAGGAAGATTCCGAATCGGAAGATAGAGATATAGACGATATTAAATATAGCGAATCTTCTTTTAAATTATTCAATATATCTAATGAGGAGAATTTTAAAGAATTCGAAAGAAAGTCTGAATTAATAAATCTTAACGAGGATGAAGTTAAAGTTGATGAGAAACCTGTTAATAATGAATCACAAAAAATAGATCAAACATCTTCTTTCGTTATTTCATCGGAAGAATCTATTTTTGAGTCGACTTCCTCCAATATGGATACAGAATCTGTTTTAGATCCTCCGAAAATTTTTCACTCGATACCACCGTTGAGTGAACGAATTAGAAAAAAAATTGATCCATCTAGTACTACTAAAACACAATTGAATTTTGATGCAGCTATTATTGAATCTACTATCGATATGGAAGCAGAGGAAGTTTGTAAAAATGGAGAAGAGAAATCAATGTTATCAACAGCTTTACGAGAATTGTTAGAAGCAAAACTTGAGGAGGAATCACCTGAAGAATGTAAAACAAAAGTCGATAATGAAGATACCACGTCTTATAAAGAAATAATATCGCTTTCGCCTGAAAATACAGGGGAAGTTAAAGATCCAATTGCTAAATGTAATAGCCAAGAAACTCATTTGGATAATGTTTCTACAAAACAAGATAACATTCAGCCCAAAGAAATTAAAAGATTAAAGGATCCTAGAACAGTTGTACCAAATAATATGCCAGCACCATATACGTCGGACATTCTTCCGCCAGTCAAGCGCAAGGTTAGAACGGTAGGATTATAGTAGAATTTCTGTTTGCAAGATTAATTCTTACATTATTTTCTAATTTACTTGTATTTATATTTTTTTTTCTCCCATACAAAATATGCTCATCGTAGCGACATTAAAATAATTGCTTTCCACAGCTATCGATATCAGAATATCGTAAACGCAAACAACAATCAGTTGGTACGCCTCCAGAACCAGAGCCATCTAATGATGTATCTACAACAGAAAAGGATAAAGCAAGAGGTAGATCAGATAGTGCAAGCAGTGGGACTTCCTCTCTAAGTTCTGACGAAGAAGGTTCTAAAATGTCACTTTCCCTTGATTTACCAGGGATTACTGCATTACCACTTTTCACTAATGCTGAAAATGATGAAAAGAAAGGTAATAACGAGCATCCAGATTCTTACATTGTACACAATTCCTGTTAAACTGCAGTCTACATGATATTCATCAATATCAACTTTAGAGTATGTATTTTTTTAATAGTTATAAGTTTTCTTAGGCTATCAATGTATAAAAGAAAAAAGAAAAAAGAAAGAAACTAAAAACTTTGAGACCATATGGATTAGTCAAATTATCAAATAGAAATTTGTGTATCTATTGCATTTTATTTAAAAATTATGAATCATCAAAGGATAGTAAATCATGCACGTTATAACCCGAAATTTATTATACTTGTTTATATCTCTAATAAATATATACATTTATATTTAGGTAGTGAAGAAGGTACTATTGGTTGGTCCGCAGCACCAACATTAGTTGAACGTCAAAGAGAAAATTTAACTGAAAGATTGAAACGTGAATTTGGCTTATTTCTCAGTGACGACGAAGAAGAAAGAGCTCGCAAACATGGTGAGCAAACATCGAGATTTTAACTTAATTAATATTAAAACACATTTTAATGAATAACAATAATAAAAATATTATTAAATAGATTTCTGTAGATGTTCTTTTTTAAATTGTAGGTTTGACTGCAGAAGCAATTTTAAAAGCTCGTAAGCCGACATCACCGCCACATTCTTCTATTCCCACTACATCCCCTACTTATCCTTTACCACAGTTACCACCTCAACCATATATACCACCGCCTGGTTCTGCAGCTATATATTATCCTCAGTACCAGGCTAATAAATCCTGTCCTATTCAGTATTCTAATTTCAGTGCACCACAAACGACATCACAAACAGTATATCCAAATATAGCCGCTCAAGGAACCGTCAACAAACAGGTACAGTTTTTAGTACCTCAAGCAGCATCTCAAGCGCCACCAGGTTCAAATCCATATCCTCCGCAATTTATTCCATCGACTACGACGACAGTGCCAATTACCAAATTTTCTTCTGCAACATCAACGTCTGGAACTTCTCAAGTATTTTCTACTTCAGGTCAGATGCAGAAGCCTTTTTTTAACCATCCTGCACCAAGGTCGTAACTGGTATTAATAGTAGTACTTTTCCAAATTTTTAGTTAAAGTACAATGATAAATAATTATCAGCCATTCTCGCTCTCTCTCGATATATGGCGAACAGTGATGTATGTATGACAAATTTTCAGCTATTACAAGGTAATATAAACATCACAATTGGAATATACTCTTAAAAGTCACAATTTCTTCTGATAATTTATTTTATATGATTTGTATTTGCGAGTGTGTACGTACTTTTATATATATATATATATATGTATATATGATATGTATATATATGTATGCTTATATATATATATGTATATGTATATATATATATGCACACACATATTATTAACATAATTCATTATACAAATCACACTGTATTATACATAGAAATCGAAGGAAAAGTAAAAAACATATGTAGGATGTGTGAACATCTGAAGTTAAGAAATATGAGACTTGTTAATGTAGGTACTACTATACGCTTCTAGAATTTTCATGCGCAGAAATATACTGAAACGTAATTCGATGGTTTTCAAAATATTCAACAGGTTTCTGTGGCCTATGGCAATAGTTAAGTATTTTGGAGACATAGTCATATGCATTTTAGGTAGTATATGTTGAAACCTGTTGATACAAATATATTAGCATCTCTTACAGGTAATAGAAAAAAAAAGTGTATTCCAATGTATGCACTTTTTATACCACTAAAATGGTGCCGTAAAGTGTTTATACATAGCATTAATCCAATTTTGATAATATTAACAAAGTTGGAATCTTTTAAACAGATGATCAATCAGAGAAATATTGATCTGAATCTTTAAGAACAGTTATCATCGTCATATATATAACGTGCACCTATGAGTCTGCATTACTCAATTTATCTGTATATATTACTTGCATATATGCATAATATTATAATAATATGAATCTTTATTTAATCGTAATTGTTAGATTAACGCATAGACTTCTATAACATGTAATTAAGACATTGTGCTGTGTTGTACTGTTTCAAAAAACAGTACTCTCTGTGTCCAGAATTCTCTATATTTTATATTTCATTGTAAAATTCCGGATAATTAGTTGTAATAAATATGTTGAAATTTAATTTCGAGAGAGTTCATTTGTATAGTTGAAAATTATATTCGATATGATACATGCATACATATACATATACATATACATATATACATATATATATTTATATATATATGTGTGTATGCATGTATGCATGTATGTATGTATGTATGTACGTATGTATATTACTTTGGACGTTTTTTACCACATTGCTTTATTTAGGCATAAATGTCTTCAAATTTTGCTATAGCTTTTACATTTTATGGAAAATATCAGTTTTAAAAGGCCTTAAAAAAAAAAAAATAATTGTTAATATTATAGAAAAGGACAAGGCCTTAGAGACTGAGTATTTCTGAATTTCTATATTCCAAACATGACATAATTGTTTTATATGTTTAGAAGTCTAAAGAAACACGTTTGTCTTTATGGCATGATGTTTTATACAAAAGTTCTAAGTCCTTGTTATATATCGGTTGTTTCTTTCACAATAATATATAGATATATCATACCTAAATAAAAGGTGCTTACATATTTTAATTTCTACAGCAAATCAATGAATACAAGTTTAGTTGTATTTCAATTAGAAAAATCGACAAAAATTTGTAGAAAAACAAAAAACGTTATTAAATTTTGGGATAATTAAATCCTAAAATTTAATGTTCATATAAGTACAAAGCTGAGAATGAGCAGGAGAAATTTTCTGATGAAACATTTAATAATGAATTACAGTAATTAAGATTGAGACTTGTAGGCTATTCTATGAAGAAAATTGTTGTACACTTTTTGTTTAGCGTTTATAGGGCTTTTTGAAGATAAAGTATCGTTTAATGTAAACTATTTTATTTTTGCTGTAACTGTTTAATACGTTTTCAATAGAGTTGTATAACCAAGTTGTGCAATTCTACGTGTTTAGAAACCTATACAAAAGTGGATACTTAGTGGATCAAATAAATATGTAATTTAGTAGCTCCTAACACAAATAATTTTATTTAGAAATGTAAATTATGTATTGAATATTATCAATATATCTATCTAGTGTACACATCAATGTAATTAAATAAGTGTACAAAGCTTCATATAAATTTGGCACATTGATAATTGTGTATATATAACTGTATTACTAGTTATTATATTTAAACATATATCAAATCATTCTGTTTTTAAAATTTCATTTCTCTCTTTAATAAATCAACTAATATTCATTATGAATTTTAATTTAATATTTTTAATTTTCATTAAAGTAAAGATTTATGTTTAAAGACACAACGAAAAGTTAATTATTCACATATGTAACAATATTAATATATGTTTATCAAAACATGGAACACCTCAAGCCATAGATGCAAATAAGCGAGATAAGTAACGTATTAATTATATACTGCGTACCAGTGAATATTTTCGTAAACTTAAATACGTTTCTTTTCCAATTAAACATAATTTCTCAAATGTTGCAATGTGTGATTAATGAAAGTTACACATGTTTTACCAAATGTAATTAAATAGATATATCACAACTCCAATTTTCTTTATATTCTTATCATGGTCTTTTATTTAATATTTTGGAAAAATCTAATTTAGAGTCAAAGAAAAAAAAAGAAGGAAAATGAAAATTGTCAAAAAAAATAATAAGCAATTGTAAGAATTCGTATGCATATAGAAAATACAATTATAATATACTTCTGCAAGAATTTTTTACTATCACGTTTTAAGCAAATATCAAAGTTTGGAGATCTGTGATTAGTAAATAAGACATAAAATTTGAGTTTAAATATTTCTGTACTATCTATGAAAGTATTTTGTCGAATTCCTGAGTGCATATGGATCTCTGGTCTTTACAAAAATGTTCTCTGTTTACATTATGTTTGGCTGCGATTTGAAAATTTAAACAAACATATTTTTGGCATTTGGTATTCCTTTATACTTTAGCCAATATTTTGTAATAAATAGTACTATAAGCTGCAAATATCACAGGTGGTGTACATATATACAAATGCGTGTACATCTATACATATATACATATATATAAGTGTACAGTTTATGTTCTCCACCTGAGTATATATGAAAAAAAAAGAAAAAAACATGTACATACTTTTGTAAGATAAATTTAAGTATCGATGTTTCACTTAAAATCTTGTACCTTCTTTAAGCTCGAAAAAAAAAACTATCATTGGTGTATACAATCGCTTTGAAACTACTCAATCTGTTATTTACTGTACGATTTTCTGATATAGCCTTGCTATATATATATATATATATATATATATATATATATATATATAGCATATATATATATATATATATATATATAGCATATATATATATATATATATATATAGCATATATATATATATATATAGCGATAGTAAAGAAGTAGAAAGCGATTAAAATAAATTTGTTATTAAGTACATTTTCAAATAGAATAGCTCGTTAGAATAATCGTTTCAATGTTGTAAATAAAAGAAATCACACAGCAATTATTATATATATATATATATATATATATATATATATATATATATATATGTATGATATATACATATACACATGTATATATACATATATACATATATACATATATACATATATATATATATATAGACACACACAGTCTTATAATAATTTCAGAACACATAATTTTTTTATTTGCGATTCATTGTTACTTGTATGTGCCTAGTTATAGCCATGTTACATTACGTACATACGTTGTATGATAATTTAATCAGTACTATCAATTAATAAATGTAACAAGTTCTTGGATATCAAATTCGATATGATATATATATATATGTATATAAAGACACACACATATATATATATACATATTATGGCATAACATGTAAAGAGCTCATATTTAGGCATACATGAAATTTAATAAATCGAAATACATTTTACGAATTAATTACTCTATGAGAAATGTTTAAGGACACTTGAATCATCACTCACATCCATTCGAAACGTTAACTGTTATTTTAGAAAATTTTCCTAAAAATCAATTTTCTAATTTATAACTTAAATCATAAGATACTAAAAGGCCACTTAAATCAACAATTACGAGATGAATTCGTAATAGATAAAATACGCGACTTTGTATTACATACCATAAATTGTAATTAATGTCATGACGCGAAGTATATAGATATAACTTTAATATCGGTAATGTAACGTGTGCAAAAAGTAAATTCTCTCAACTAATTGTATATTCTATTTACATATATATGTAGTCTCATATCGATTGAAAAGTATTTCTGAAAAAAAGTTCTTGTTAATTTTCATAGATAAAAAATAGACGCGAGAACGTTTGAAAATATTATATCATTTTGATATCGCATGAGAAAATAATTCGATCTAATTCTCGAATGCGAACGGATGTCCCATTTAAAATTGAAACCATTTAACCCGCTACTACATATCTGCAATTTGATTGATCAAAAGCAGTTGACGTCATCGGTTATAAGCTCCAGCAATTGGAGGAGAAAAGTTGCGAGCGTCTGCTGTGACAGTCGCATTCAGAAGCGTCCAACGCGGTGATCAGCAGTCTAGGCAATGTCTCTGTCGTCTCAGTCTCAGCTGGATGCAACAGCTGTAGAGAATTTTCGGGAGTATTTGCGAATACCATCAGTCCAACCGAATATTAATTATGGTAAGTGATATTTTAATGACATTTCTAACGGCGTATAAATTTATTAGGATTTTTTTTCTTTCTTTCTTTCTTTTTTTTTATCGATCACCTTCTTTTGTAAAAGTCAAACCGATCGAGTACGAATCAGAAATGATTTGTAAATTGTGCTAATGTCTCTCTCGCGTGGTGATATCTCTCACTTACTACGTGAATGGGGTCGCTCAACGATGCGTTTCCTCTTGAGGCAAATTAAATTTTTTATTAATCATATGAAGGCACGTATAATGTCGTTTTACTTTTCTATTGATTGATATTCCAACATCGAATTCTAATGAACCATTCTTAACCGGTATTTTTGAATTCGGTGAAACGGCGTAGCGTCTCAGACGCTATCGAGCCATTGTATATGCCCCACCCAATACAGAATTATATTTCTATTTTTATAATTTTCGACCAGAGGATTCCCAGTAAGTCTACGTTATTTTTTCAAATGTCTCTTATATATTTTACTGATCAAAAGTATCTTTTCAATCACGTGAAAGACTGCACAAGATAAACTCTTTCATCATTGAGATTCTATGTTATTCAGATGATTTTTATGTTAATTTTATTATTTGCGATTTATATAACGGTTTTATTTATAAAGTTACATTATGCAGATAACAGAATATTCTCTTATTCCTCAAATTTTTTATTGGTACAAGATATATTATGAATGTATAGTCTGAAGCAACGAATAGCTGGGTAAATTGATCAAAACATAAAATGAATTCAAAATGTAATCTTAATATAAACAGTGATAAGATAATTGTCTGGTATACATTATTTCGGATCAATCATGGATATTTGTAAATCTTTTTTCGCTGTCGCTTGTAAGATAACGTTTTTTTATGACTTTATTGACAGTCGGTCAACAGAGAGATTATTTAAATCTCTTAAAAAATATCTCTTAATAAATCTCTTAATAAACAAGTTGAAATAATTGCCACAAGGACATTTTTTTTTTCATTTAACCAATACACGCGCACACACATATATACATGTACATATACATATACATGTGTGTATGTGTGTATATATAATATATATATGAATATGTATATGTATATGTATATGTATATGTATATGAATATATTTTATTACAGATGCTTGTGTTGAATTCTTACGCAATCAGGCAAGGTCCCTTGACTTACCAGTCCAAATATATCATGTACATCCAGGAAAACCCATTGTGGTTCTCACATGGTTGGGTACGGAACCGAACAAACCAGCCATTCTCTTGAATAGTCATATGGATGTAGTGCCTGTCTTTGAGGTAAGTAATATTAACTGTTAGAAAATATTATGAAATTATAAAGCTCATTAAATTATTGTCCATTTAAATTTGTGTATAAATTATCGAACAATCGCTCAATTTTTTTGCTAATTATTTAAATGCATGTTATAGGATCAGTGGACATATCCACCTTTCAGTGCTCATATGGATGAACAAGGAAACATCTATGCACGTGGCAGCCAAGACATGAAGTGTGTTGGAATACAATATCTGGAAGCTGTAAGACGTATGAAAATGTCTAATCAACGTTTCAAGAGAACAATTCACATTTCCTTTGTACCAGATGAAGAAATAGGCGGTAAACTTGGTATGAAGGAGTTTGTGCACACAAAAGATTTCAAGGCTTTAAATATTGGTTTTGCACTTGACGAAGGGGTTGCTTCTCCTACTGAAACATTCTACATGTTCTATGGTGAAAGATCTATCTGGCACGTAGAAATACATTGTACAGGAATTGCAGGACATGGATCTATAATGTTAGATAATAATTCTGGAGAAAAAATCAGAGTTATAATTGATCGATTTATGGACTTTAGAGCATCGGAAAAAGAAAAATTAAAAGATACTACCAAATACCAACTTGGCGATGTAACATCAGTGAATCTAACTCAATTGAGGGTATATATCAACTCTTATTAACATTCTTCTTTGTATCAAATTTTTTTGTATCAACTTTTTTTTATATCAATTTTATTTATATCAACTAAGTTTCTTTGAAATAATAGAATATAAATTGTTCTTCAATTATTAGCATTGTTTCAATTTGCTTTCAATTTTATAATATTTCAATTGATTTTATATATTTATATATTTATTGCTTAATAAATATTTCTATGTTTACATGTCTATTACATTAGGATTTTTACAATCCGCGTAAGTATTTTATGTATATTGAATATTCGCATTGATTATTTTCTTTATATTTTTACATATATATTTGTGGTTTCTTTTTTGTTTTCCTTTTTATATATCATCTTGCATTTAATTTATATGAGAATTTAGTTACTAATTAAATACATGTTTTTTACAGGGTGGAGTGCAAACAAATGTTATACCAAGCGAATTGACTGCCACATTTGATATAAGACTGGATCCGTCCGTCGATCATGATAAATTTGAAGCTATGATCCAAGAATGGTGCAAAGAAGCTGGAGAAGGTGTGTTTTACACGTTCCAACAAAAAAATCCGAAAGTTGAGAATACCAAATTGGATGATACTAATCCGTTTTGGATCGCATTTAAAAATACCTGCGATAGCTTGGGTATAACTCTACAAATAGGTATTTTCCCAGGTGGAACTGATAGTCGTTATGTAAGATCTGTACGTATAACAATTTTCTTTTTTTTATTTTTTAAATATAGAAAGCATATATTTCTAAAAGGAAAAACAAAGAAACTTATTTAATTGTTTTATATATATAGATTGGTATACCAGCAATTTGTTTCTCGCCAATGAATAAAACGAAAATACTCCTTCACGATCACGATGAATATTTGAACAGAGATATATTTTTACATGGAATAGAAATATATATGAAAATAATACCAGCAGTTGCAAATGTTTGAGCGCAATATCGAACGATTCAACGATATGGTGTCATTGAGGTATATCCATAGTATAACCAAAGTGCAATAACAAATTAATATATAATCATACGAATCAATTGTTATGTTAAACGAAAGATTTATATATTTTATGATGCGTATCAGAGGAGAAAATCGTTCTATAAGAATAAGAGGAATGAGAAATCAATGAAAACCCATAGCACATAAAAAAAAAGCAGACAATGCGAGTAATAATATTCTCATAAGAGGGAGAAGAAAATACAAATAATTGAACAAGATAAATTATAGAGCGATGAAATGAAAACATTGAATAGATTAATATAAAGATAGATCAACGAAAAAGTAATATATGTGTATATATAAATCTATATGTATTTGTTCATCCAAGAAGAAGTAGTAGTCGATCTTAATGTAATGTGAAATAATTTATAATATATAAATGTTAATCTTTATACACAGATGAAAAATTGTGAAAATATTACTGGCCATCATAATTTGTCGATGTTATACAAGTTGATCGAAAATATACAAAAGGTATGTTAAAGGAACCGCCTATTGACCTCAGCAGTATCAAAGGATGCCGACTTTATTATCTGTGTAAAATTGCGCAAAAAGTCATCGTCTTATTCCTCCAGATTTATTTGTGCCAGTTTAATTGGATAAAACGATCGGTGATAGTGTCGCGAGTATCCTTTGTTGATCTAGAAGTCGATATATCGGTGCGCACAAATGTGTATTCTCGCCATTGTCGTACGTAGTGGGTTCATTGTTAACCATATGCCAACCATCCCTCTCTAACAAAGTAATAGACTCGTCCATCTTCTTCGACTTTATCTCAATTATTTTATCGACGTAACGATGAAAGTTGTGAATGATATTTCGTGTGATAGTGTTTAAAAATAATAACTTCCTCGGATGGTCCTCAAAATATCAAAATAATTTATTAATCAGGAGTAAGAAGAATTTTTTCTTCGTGCATGGACTCGGCCATTTTCTTGCGGCGGGGAGGGGGAAAATGGAAGAAAAACATGCTGCCACTTCTGTCATTCATGCCAATCGTTTGGAGATTTTCGTGGGTGTTACCAAGCGAAGGATTTAACATAATCGGTAGGCCGAATGTTCGAGGTCAAAAAAATCTTTGAGAAGTCATAACAAAGTCTAAAAAGATATCTCGCGTAAATTCCTTTGTCAGCCATGTGCAAATGGTGTAGCATTTAAAACATCCTCGCGAACGAAATGTACCGACCAATGAGTATGGCCTAGGCCGCATCACGTGACTTCGGCCGGCCAATAGGCGGGACGAGATTTGAAATCGTGCGTGGTCTTTGTTCATGAGCCTACCGTCAACGTTACTTCAGTTCCGTAAAGGGGGCCCTGTGTCGGTGTTCGTTTATACATGGTCGCTGCTGAAAATCGCATAATTTCCAAGTAAATATATGTGTGAAAGTGGTGTTTCGCTGAGTGGACGACGTACTTCGAGGATCGTCGAATATACGGTAAGTGAAGATTCCTGTAATCTCATCCTTGAAGATAGGAGATAGAAAGGAAAATGATTTTGTGTGGCCGGCCCGCCACTGCCGTTGTCGTCGTCGTCGTCGTCGTCGTCGTCGCCACTACCACCGTCGCCGCCGCCACTACTGTCGTCGTCGTGTTCGTCCTCATCGTCGTCGTCGTCGTCGTCGTCGTCGTCGTCGTCGTCGTCGTCGTCGTCGTCGTCGTCGTCGTCGTCGTCGTCGTCGTGTAGTCGTTGCTTGTCGAAGTGTTGTGTGGAAAGTTTTGGATTGTGTCGCGCGTGGCGATATTACAAGGTATAAGGAGGAGTCGCCTAATGTGTCTTAGAAAAAGAATCGTGTTTATATACGACACGTAGACCTTCAAAAATCCAAATAACAAATACGTCGATTCGTAAACGTTCTTTAAAGCTGATAAACAAATTCTCGCGCTATTTTCTTACGAAATCGAACGAGTTAGTTTTATCGGATTTTTTTTTCAGTGATGAATCTCTTCGAATGAATCTTCGTCGACCTAAAATATTTTATGATACGGTTGGTGTATTTTTCTTTTTTTTTTCGTTTCTCTCTCTCTCTCTTTCTTTCTTTCTTTTTCTTTTTTCTACCACCCTCTTCCTCCTGAAGTGTAAATAATCTCGAGTAAGCGCGGGCATTTTTGCCGCGCTCTACGAATTCGGCCGTGCCTTTCTTTAGTTACACTCATTGTTATGGCAACCGTTTTATTTACCGTAAACGCAGCGCGACCGAGCAACCGAGAATAAACAATCGTGTCGACCGCCTCCGCCGCCACCACCATCACCACCACCACCACCACCACCACCACCTTCGCCGCCGCCGCAGCCGCAGCCGCCGCCGTCGTTGTCGTGTCGTCGCTGCCACCGCCGTCATCGTCTTCGTCGTACCGTCATCACTACTACCATTACCAACTACAACCATCATCATATATCGCGTATATGTATGATCGTACAGACCTGAATGAGTGATTCACAATGTGTAGGAGCGTAAAATTGAGCGGGAAGACGTTAGACCGTCTTCTTAGAAAATGTACGTGCGAATAGGTTTGTTCGATCGTCTTTTTTTCTTCCTCCTTCGATCGTTCTTTCTTTTCAAATGGTTCCATACAACTCACGTCTCACGATATATTATTTTTTATTTTTCTTGGTCACAATTAAAATATTTTCAATTATACTTATGGAATGTACGTATACGATGTTTATACAATTCGTATTATTCTCGAGAAAAGCAACGCGCGATCGATAAAAAATGTCGTTCATAATTTAAAAAAAAACGAAAGAAAGGAAAAAAAGGATAGAAATTATTGAATTATGTACATATTTTTAAAAATTTTTTCTCGCAATGTTTTTTTCCTCGTTATATATTTTCCGTCTTAAAGCTAATGGATTTCTATATTATTTTGCAAAAAAAAAAGAAGAAAAATGTATTGCTTCTTCTATTATATCGTCGAACTGTCGCGAGAGAAGAGTTAAAATATATCATTCGCAATTATTGCGAATTACAAAGGAAGTTCTCGTTCCATCGATTAAAACAAAAGGCTGGAGTTTATAGTGGCAGCAGTCGTCCAGACTGCTTTGGAGAAGAAGAGGAAGAGAAGAAGAAGAAAAAGAGGAGTAAAAAGAGGGAGGAGAGCGAGGGTGGGGGAGGGAGAGGCTCCTCGTCGTCGTCTCGCGCGCAAATAGATTCATTTTATGCGAGGCAAAGCTTATCGAGCGATCTACTTTACCGTTTGCAACGAGATCTCTCTTAATAATACACTTTTTTTTTCTTCTTTAAAAATATCTATTAACGTTGTACAACAGTATAAAGTAACAACACAGCAAGGAACAAGAAAAAGAGGAGAAAGAAAGAAAATACATGGATCGATAAATATCTGTCTTTTTTTTTTTTTTTTTTTTTAAATATTGTTGCGTAGTATACTTATGTACGATACTATATACACAAAATACTACTATAAGGTTTGTGTATATATAAATATATATATATATATATATATATATATGCGGTATAGTTTTTGATAAATTTTAATCTGTCTGATTAGAAAAAAGAGAGGAAAAAAATGGAAAAGGAGTCGTTATATGTGACTTCTCTTCCGGTTTTTCCACCAATATTTCATTATTTTCGTAAAAATCGTCAGTAACGAGCGCATCGGTGGCAGTAAAGAAGGGGGAGGGTTGCGGGGAAGAGCGAGGGAGACCCTCGAGCACTTTCAACACGCTTACCGCCGCCGGGAAAACTATTGACCGTGGGAACCTTCTGGGAACTCTACCCTCGCCATATGCTCACCGAAGGAAATATCTTAGGGACTCCGACCGAAATCTACCGTCTGACCGTTTCTCTCTCTCTCTCTCTCTCTCTCTCTCTCTCTCTCTCTCTCTTTCTCTCTCTCTCTCTCTCTCTTTCTTTCGTGTCCTCGAACGATTATTTGTCACTGTGTGCGGATACGCGCGCGCGCGCTAATCTACCCGTAAAACTTCACCCTTTCCCTTCCTCTTTCTATTCTTTTATTTTATTCTTTTTTGTTTCTTGCGAGGAAAGGAAACTATTATATCTACGAAGACGACTTCCGGTCCAAGATGGCGGCCAGATTTCTTTTTTTTTTTTTTCTTAGCTTAAGACAAATCTTACCATTCTTTTTCTTTTTTCCTCTTTTTTGATATTTATTTTATATAAATATTGAATGAAAACGAAGAAAGTTATTTCTAAATGTAATTATAAAATCATAATCACATTAATTTCTTTCTATATACTTCTCGAAGTCATCTTAGAAAGATAAACATTGGGTTGGCCAGCTTTCACGAGACTTTGATAATATACTTCGCAGACAAAGTCTAGTACTAATGGGCCACTTGATAATTTAGAAATCACTCCATTCATTAGGAAATATTTCTTTTTGGTCTTTTAGATCACGATCGATAAAGTTTAGTCCAGTGAAGTTACACCTTCCTAGTATGAAACAATACGACAAATTAACCTATCGCTTTTGCATCTTTTATTTTCTTATTAGAGATCGATCAAAATATGTACTTACCAATAATATTGACTAGAAATCATAATCGAAAAAATACAAAAATTATATATATACATATACATATACATATACATAAATCGATCTATTTCATATCAAATCTTTAATAGAATTTGAGCGGGAAATTTCTCAAGTTCTCGATTATTCCAATTGCCTTTACTATGTCCGAATCCGTTACACAGTGAAAGCAAAAACTTAACTGAAGTGAGAGAGAACAGGGGCAAATTGATTTCCAACGACTAGTTAGAATGATGTAATCATGGTTTATGGATCTCTATGAGTTAACTTCGATAAGAACTTTATATATGTATTAATTTTGACGACTTTAGGAAAAATAAAGGTAAAGATAACCTAAAAAGAAACCAAAAATAAGAAAATAGATTTCTCTCTCTCTCTTTTATTATTAATCGAGTCTGTAATACAGAATTTTTTTATCGATTCGAATGATTATTTTCAATAATCTCATCTAGTCATTTTAAATATTAACGTAGTAAATATACGTTATAATCTCTTCGACTAAAGAGTTCGATTGATTTCATGAATTTCGATATAGTGATCTTACTGTGAATAAGAAGCATAGAAAGAAATAAAACGTTAAAGTGGTGTATTAACGCAAAAAAGATGGGCTCTCGAAATATTTGAACGATTTCGTGAAGAGGAAGAGGAAGAGGTTAAAGTAAAAGAGGGATAAAGGGGAAGGTTTGGTGAAACTACACCACCGTAGGCTGGTCGATGCGCATGCGCATTGGGAAGTCGGAGGACGACGTCGGCAGGGTGCAAACGTCGTGTTCTCTCACATTTATACGTATATATCTATATATATGTATATGGAGATATATATATATATATATATATATATATATATATATATATCTACACACGGCGAACATCGAAGCTCGATGTGGAGGGGATAACAGATCGATACTCTGTGAAAACGCGACTTAGAAAGGCGCGGTCGTACGCATCCACGGTTGGTCCATCGCGAAATCCACATATTGTTTTCTCCGTGTATCTCTTGTCATTATTATTATTGTTATTATTTTTGTTCTTCTTCTTTTTTTTCTTTTTCTTCCTTTTTTCTTCTTTTTTTTCTTTTTCTTCTTCTTATTATTATTATTACTATTATTTCTTCTTCTTATTATTATTACTATTGATTTTTGTTATTATTGTCACAATCATGGATCGAACTTAATTTTTACATTACTTTTATTAAAATTTTCAATCAAGTTCAAAGTATTATTTATATTTATATATATATATATTTGTTTACTTTTTTACTTTTTTTATATACATTTTATATACATGAAATTTTAATTATTTCGAAAACAAAAGGAAATAAAAAGAAACATTCTAGCTAAACAATTCTACTAAAATATGCTATGTCCATCATGATTATCCTCGAATAATTATTTAGATAATTTAATGGCAAAAGAGTATTATTAGTTTTCTTTAGAATGATAACATTATACGTGTGATATTCTTTGAAATTTTATAGTCAAGATTTGAAGCAGATTATATTTGTTAGAATTTATTCTCTTCCTTGTAATGGAATGGAAAAGGCTCGGACTTCGTAACGCTGGAAGAGTTCGATGTTAATGAACTCGAGCGTGTTTCATAAGTGGCGCCGTTGTTGAAGATCATTGTGTTCTATACTACTCTAGTCAAACACAAGTATATTTTCTCGTTTTAATCTCGCGCGTAACTAATATATATATATATATATATATATATATATATATATTCTGATAAAGAATAAATTAAATATTTAAGGAAACATTTCGTTTGTCTCGAATGAAAGTAGCTTAGAGAATGTATTTGTTCTAACGGTATTAGAGAGCTATTGAACCGAGCCAACAGTCTCATTTCCATGCAAAGTTTTATTGCAGTTAGATATGCTCGTATAGAAAGAAGGATGTAGAATAACCGGTCCGCTTTTGGATAAATAGCATATGCTGTGCTTGAGAGCGGTAAATGAATATGCAGTGTGGGAGCGACAAAGAAAGAATTCGAAGAAATGCATTGTTATTTGAACGAGCCTGTATATACCGTCTCATAGTC